TGCGAGAAAAAGATAAAAGATGGATGTACTCTTCGCTCTACCATTTTCTTTCTCTTTCTGTCAGATCACGTTTCCACTCAAAGAGGCCGCTATGCCTCTTCTACTCTATATATAATCTCTTTGTTCAATAATCGACTTTAGTTCTGGTTAACAGCGCAAGCGTATCGAATGGCCTAAAATAATCAGAACTAAAGTCACTAGATTATTGAAAGTTATTAATAAATAAATGGCACAATTTATCGATAAAATAAGAACAATACTTGCATATACGGATCTAGTAAACGACTAGTAAACGACTAGCAAACGTTTTAACACCGAAATATTCATGAAATCGTGAGATAAAGATTCCAAATGACGGTTACAGTTGTCTAAATTTTAATTTCAATCTTTTGCCTAAAATAATTAACAATACAATAAAACATACAAAAATTAGCAAACAACTATCAATCGAATGGCGTATTCAAAATTATTGAAATCGTTAGTCCAACAGCTGACTTTACACCAGTCTATTGTCTTTATTTTCTCATTATGTTGACAGCCTTGCATCCGAAACTTCAAACTTTCACCACATGAGGTCTCTAAAATCAATCAGGAGATTCAGGAGTTTACAGTACACGACCTTGCTGGCTGCTCTTAAAAGATTTTGATGAGGTTACGATTTTTGTTAACAAAAAACGTACAATCACTGATAATTGATACAAATATGGCAACGAAAAAGATCAATGGATTATATACGTCTTTTAATAAATTGTATAAAGGAAATGCATCTATAATAGATGCAGTAACGCAACGCACATATGCAACCATGGACGAAGGTGATACTCAAGTTACTCATACTGGTCAGGTGGGATATATTTTTTATTTATCAGAATATTTTTTATATAAAATATTGGAAATCTATTCCACTTATTCAACTAAAATTCATAGAGATCATTAATATATATTTATTTATATTTATGAAGATTTATACTCGTCATGTTTATTATAATTATTAAATACATAAGTCTTCCCAGTAAACAAACTGTTAATGGTATGACAATAAGTTAGCAGTAAATTTGCAACAGATCTGGTATCATCTATTTTCATTAAATAAACTCGTGTTTTGTCGATAAAACTTCCCAATATATAATCCGACAGCAGATAATTGGTAGAAACCAAACAGCATCTATCATTTTGTAAACATTTAAATGGCAGTTCTGATCAATTTCTGTAGTCAATCTACTATTATATTACCAGATTTCATTATATTCTATTTTTCTACTGGCATATTATCGATAAAATTTGTAATAAACATTTTTAAAATCTATTCTTGAGATTTGACTATCTAGGTTTGTATTATAAATTTCATTATATTTTTACTACAAGACTATTTAGATTTACTTTGATACTAAATATAATAAATTAAATAAGTTTTATCACCAGAAACTCATTTTTAAAGAGTATAGGAAATTATATTATTATTTAAAGCTCCTTTGATAGATACTATCTTTTTGATTGTTTCTTTAATTACATTTTATCATGCTTTATCAGATATTTGAAAAAGACGACTATCGATTAGTAAGATTTTTAAATAAGCCAAAAGAAGTTAACAAAAATTGGGCAATTAAATTGATAGACGAAGTACCACCATCTCCTAAGAAAGACAGAATTGTAGCTTGTAATGGTGGTGGAGGTCCCCTTGGACATCCTAAAGTTTACATAAATCTGGTAAGATGTGTATTATTTGTATATGTGTCACAGTAAAAATATAAAATTAGTAATAGTATACTTATTAAAATGAATATATATATGTATGATATAGAAAGTATAAGATAAAAATAAGTCACCAATCAATAAAATACCAAACTAGTAAACATATTCCAATCCAAATACTTATTTTCAAAACTGAGCTTAGCAGGCAAAAATGTTTTAGATTGGTATTCTTTAAAACTTTGAAATTATATTATTTTTGTATACTTTTGCTAAAAAATATTATAAGTGCATATATTTGTTAATAGAAATATTGTCTTGTGTTTTAACACTTTAAACTGATAAACACTTAACACTGGTAAAAAATAAATGCAGGGTGTCCAGAAAACCGTCTGCAATACTTTGAGAAGTGATTCGGGACCTAAAAAGAAGGAAAAAAGCTATATAAACATAGGTCCAGAAATGACTTGTTTTTTAGTTATAGCCACTTTTATGTTAAAATAATCGTAAATAAATCATAATAATAATCATCATAAATTATGATTAACATGATTATGACAATGAAAAATAAATAACATTTTTTTTAGTTATAGTTACTTTTATGTTAAATTTCAATTTATTTTTTATAATTATAAATCATATTAATTTATTATGATTATTATTACAATTTATTACAATTATTATTTATTATAATTTATTTACGATTATTTTAACATAAAAGTGACTATAACTTAGAAACAACTCATTTCCAGACCTATATTTATGTCTTCTTTATAATTTATAGCTTCTTTTCCTTCTTTTTAGATCCCGAATCATTTTCAAAGTATTGCGATTTTCTAGACACCCTGTATCTAAATTTATGAATAAATGTTTGTATAATTACTCTTTCATTGTATTATGTAGAATATTTTTATTAAATTATTTGTTATTTACTAATATTTACTTAAATAGTAAAAAAGCATATCAGATTATAATAAAATTATGTTTCTAAAAAAGTATAAACTTATTTATCATAAGTTCAATTTTTTTAGAATTTATTTTATTCTTGTTTTACAGGATAAACCAGGCAATCATACTTGTGGATACTGTGGTCTGCGTTTTTATAAAGAGAATCATCACTAGATAATCATTGTATATGAGTAGTTATATTAATTTATAAATATATTTTAGAATGTAAAGATTGTTGCAATAAATATGTAAAATAAAACTGTATGACACATAACGCAATTCAATTATATTTAAACAAATATTTAAAAATAAAATATATTTAAGTTAAACATTAATTTATTCATATTTAACTTGTCTGAAAAATATTGTTCAACAATTTAATATAAATTGAATCTACATATACTGAATGAACAAAGAGCATACAGTTAATAATTTTTACTATTTTCACATAGTAAAAATTATCTACATAAAATAATAAGTTGTTTTGTTTGTAGATTTAATATTTAACTTGAATATTTAATATATGTCCAATAGTTTTGTGGGTCTTAAGATTCAATATTTTTCTAAAATTTCAAATAATATGTAGTACATAGTGTATCATATCGTAATTTTGAAAGAATTAGTTGCGAATAGCACTAATAATAAGATATTTATATTTAGTGTAAAACAAATTTATTTTTTACAGAAATAAAATATGAAAAAGAAGATAAAAAATAAAAAAGGAGCTATGAAAATTGATCTCTTTGCAAAAATGCTTCATGCATTTCCATTTGGGATTAATTTTGCTTGGAAAAAACTATTAGAATAAAATATAATGTATAGAAATAACTGAAGCAAAAAATGAAAGTAGAATCGATATCTTATTGTTAATTTTGTAATTTTTAATTGTCTTATTAACTATACTAATTTCAAATATTAAGGCTCAAATGAATCAGATACTCTGACAAGTATCAATTTATACATAAATTTATTACGTGGAAGCCCATTAAAACCAATAAATGGACCTTTTTTTACAAATACTAATAATAGGCTTTAAATCTGTACTATTATACTTTTTACAAGATTGCACTTATCTATGAGAGATGTCTTTTAAACACATTAAAAATTTAAATAATAGTTTCAACAAATTTTATTTTTATCATTAACAAAAATTTTAATACTGACGATAAGATTATTGAAAAGACTTTTTTGAAGTATCATCTTTCGACTCACAAATTTTCTCATAAAGCTGTCTTTTGACTGTTCATACTTAAAGGTATAGCTTGCAGTTCTGTTCTCATACAGAGAAATTCTCCGCAGACACACATTATACTTAACGATACAAGATTCAAACACCACCAACTGAACGATGTTGGATAAGTTCCATTGTACGCCCAACAACAAATTAAATGAATCCAATGGGCAGTACATGCAAAATCCATGCATAATTTTGTTCTTTGCACTAACCACCATAATGCAAATGCGCCTACAAAAGCGTTCAGAACAAACATAATAATAGCTAATTGTCCTCCAAAGTCACGAACGTGTATTTCCTTATATTGAAACACATAATCTAATGATTTTGTCCAGCCCAACATTGATGCAACAATCCAAATCCAGAATCCGAGGCAAAGATACATAATAGTCTGCACAGCAATTATCTGGGAAATTATGAGAATGGGATCCCATGTTGTCTTACGGAATTGTCCAGAAAGATTATTCATTTTCTTGTATTAGGAATGGTACTTATTCAAGAAATAAAAACTTTCTAAGTAGATACACGCAAACTTTCATCATTCTTTCTAGACTTCTGAATCCAGTATCTGTAAATAACAAAGCAATTAAATATATTTTTGAGACAGAATATGGCCCGGAACACATGAAATGCATAACAAAATATAAGCGTATGCATTTCATGTGCTCTCGGCCTAAAGAAAATATAAAATTTAAATATTGCAACATATAACGGAAATATCTATAACGCGCGCGTATGTGTAGACAAAAGGTATAATTAAAAAAATATTGATAAGCAGATATTTTGAGGCTAGAAAATTATATATATATATATATATATACATACAGTATACACATATATACACTCAACAGTAAAATTAAAGGATCACCCATTCTGATCACTAAAAATAGGCAAATTTCAAGAGTGTAACTTCGTCAAAAATGATCGTAACGGAATAATCCAAAAAGCATTTTCCAGCTTAAAGTCTCTACTTGCGAAATCCATAATTCATTAAATGACTTATTGATTCTTTAACAAAGCTGCACGGATGCAAATGGAAATGCATCAAATCTAAAATTTTTTTATTAAATTTGCAAAGTTCCATGGAGTAAAATAAAAATCGCATACAAATGCGACTTACAGCATTCGAAAGTGTGAATCTTTATCTTTAATTTGTACATTCGATCAGCATTGTGCGATTTTTTTTACCGTTATTTTACCGTTTTTTGTGCGAGTTATTTTTAAATTAATCACACTGTCCTTGTGTTAGTTACAAATTTGCTGAAAAGAAAAAGCGTCATATAAATTACTTTATATAATTAAATTATTTTTCCAGAAATTATGTTACGAAATATTTAAATTTCAATATTATTACTAGAAAATTATAATCCTTATACACAAAGAATTTAAATAAAAATATAGAAAAAATTATTTTCTTCTTTCCTATCTTTCTTTCCTCCCATCAAATATAAAAAAATTTCTAAGACTAATAATTAACAGCATACAACATATTTGTTGCATAAAGATTATAGCTAAATTTCAATTATTCAAATTAACGTGCATATTCTCTCATTTGATTCTGTATGACTTTTACCATAATTAAGTGCTCGATCTCTCTCGTCCCATATCGTCAAGCCGTCACATGCGCAAATTTTCTTCATATTTTGAAATAATCCGGATGATCTGGCTATAATACCGCAAGCCAATCTATAGTAGAAAAAAATTTAATGTAAAACAATAGTTGACATGAATCATCAAGCTTTGACACAATAGGAATCATTTCACGTATACCTTGCGCCGCTATTTCCATTTATTTTAGATTCCGGACTGTCACTTCTACCAAGGTCGTCTGGATCCTTGGTAATAATAAGAGATCTGCCAATGATGTCAGGTACCTTAAGAAACTTGTCTGTCATTCGAAAAGTAGCTCTGCCAGTAGCATCTGCCAGGATATTTCCAAGATCACCAACATGCTGTAATTGCAGACAATATTGTTAAAATATCATAAGATCTAAGAAATCTGACCTTTTATATTTACCCTCTTGGACAGATCATCTTTGGGGCTACCATGGGGTGAATTATTTGGGTTAAAGTGTTCGCCTACGCTGCAATAAAAATTCAATTTGCTCAAAGCATCAAAATATATTTACTTTTAAGATACAAGTTTACTTACCTTTCACAACCATTAGATATATCACCACATTCATGTACATGCATACCATGCTCGCCTGGAGTTAAACCGTCAATTGTACCATCTATGATACATCCCTCTGGAATTTCTGCAAATCTTATTACTCCTCTGATCAAATTACCTACGCTGTATCCTGAATTCCCACCCAGCATCGATACAGCACTTGATCCATCTGCAAAAAAGTGCTTAATTTAAAAATCATACGTACAAGTATTATATATATTTTAAAATTCTAAAATCATAAATATATATATTCAATTATAGAATAAAAGCATTCTTAAACCAAGTTTTTAAATAGTGTCATTTTTTTATTACTCCTTTTTTATTTCTCTGACATGTAAAAACATGTGTGGATTCAGGTACAGGATTCTCAAACGCTTAACGACAATTGTCGGTATCGCATTGTGCAGCCTTTCTTTCTTATGTGGTTTATATGTAATCAAAATTACGCAACAATATCAACAATCGTTAAGTGTTTGAGAATCCCGGTATGTACAGGAATGATAAATGAAACATGACTGTTATAACATATATAAAAAATAATACTACATATAAATAACATAGAAAACTTTGTTTAAACCTCCATATCCTTTCAATACTGCCTGCCTTCCGGTTCTTTCAATTCTTTCCT